AGTCAAGAAGTGGGACCTGGAAACCGGAAGTCCTCTGAAATGTTTTGGGTTTCCTCTTTTATTGTTCTTTTAGCTCCCCCTTCATCCCCTCTCCCTCCAAAGTTCACTGGTCCCTGGAGTATGTAGTCTGAGATTCTGCTTCTTGGTTGATTTTGTCACCTCTGTTTTCAGCATGTTCTTGCTGAGGTAGGGACTTTTGAGGAAAAACCACCAGCTCTCTCTTTTTTCCAGCTTGTAAGACAGTGCTCTGTGTTTTCTCCTGCTGCAACTGTAGCTACACAGGAAGTTCAGCTAACCAGGCTGTCACCAGGGCTATCAGCTCAACCTTGCAGTACAGTCTTTATCAAGGGGATATTATTATTGACCCCAGGCTGGGGTCTGCAAAGCCAGAGGCAGAGGCACAGAGGTTCATCCACCATTCAGGACAGACAACACTGTTGTATTGCCACGTCCTGGTGGGGGCACCTGCCTCCCAGAAGACAACCTCTTCTTTAAGCACTACCCTAGGATGGGCACAGAAGTGGATCTTACCATTTAAATAGACAACACAGGCCTATCTAATAAGAGATTTTAAGACAGTACAGACAAGTTTGTCTTGACGGTAGTAAGGATTTTATGACATGGTACTGTAAAGTTCTTGTTCTCTAACTTTAAAGAATTAAAGAGAGGCACACTGGCAAAGTAAACACAAAGTTTTCTTTATTGCCAAAAGTAAAAGCAAAGACAACTTGGAGAGCCAAGCAGCGGGACCTGGAAACCGGTAATCTGTTTAAAGGCTTTGAGTTCTCTCTTCTGACTGCTTTTCCAGTTCCCTCTTCTGTTCCCCCTCCCTCCAAGGTTCATTGCCACTCCCAGTCCCAGGGAATGCATTCAGAGCTTCTGCTCCTAGATTGATCCCTATCACCTTGTTGCTGGCACATTATTGCCGCAGGTGGGTACTTCTGAAAAAAAAACACCAAGCTTCCTCTTATTGCCAGCTTGTAGGGTGGTGCCCTGTCAGTTCTCTCCTGCTGCCAAAAAGATGGTCTCACAGTCCTTGCTTACAAATCCAGTTAGACAGGCTGCCCCTGCACAATGGTGCTATTTTAGACAGACACCATTGTACAAAAGCAGCTCACTGCACTAGACCATCTGCCCAAGACTTTGCTTGATTGCCTCAGAGCCAGCAACATCGCTTTCTCTTTCACCCAAAGCAAGTTTCTTTAAGGAGAAAATGAAAGTATGCATGTGAGTCACTATAGAGCAGAAGGAAAGTGCTTTTGCATGGAGACTTCGTAGGCTTTCATTAGGGAGGAGATCAGCCAGGTAGAGTTGGATGGAAGGCTGGTAAGCTTCAAGACAAGGAAGCTGCAGGTTTTTTGTTTGTTTAGTTGCTGGTTGGTTTCCAGTGAATATGGAAGAATTCCACATTTTTGACTATAGTTGTGCCCAGCTGGCCTCCGGAGATCTGACAGTCTCCAGATCATACCCTTGCCTGGAGACTGGTGAGGAAGGGACCCCTCTTTTTCCCTTTTTCCCCAGTGTTTTGAATCACAACCTAGAAGGGAGTTACCAGGAATGCTAAAAACTCCACCCATTTTTTTGTTCCGTGTTGCATCTGAAGAGAAGGATAAAGTTTAGGGATTCATTTCTTTGAGTTTTAAGTTTTTTCTCAGGTTCTAAACATCCCTGAGTTCCAGTGGCAGAACCCTGAAAAGGGAAGTCCTCCAAGCGTCCTGGAGGTTCCTGGGTGCTCCTCTCTTTATGGGTCCCACTTTACAGGACCTAAGCAAGGTACTTTGAGACAGGCAGCTTGTTTTTTGCGATGATAGTTTTGTTGTTACAACTTATGATAATCTTTAATCACATGGAGAATTAAATAAATGCATAAGCCCTGCAGAGTGCCAGGTTATGGCCCTATAGCTTTAACTTGAATCATGTTTTTGCACATTACCAATTTGAACATAGGTAAGCAATTAATGTTCTCCTGACAGTATTTTTACATCTTTCCCTCAATTTTACAGGAGAATTTCCTGGGAACAGTGCAGATTAAGCTTCCTCACAAACCCAAATGCCCAGTTACAGCCAGGGTGAGTCCCAGCAGAAGGGATGTTCTTTTGTCTCCAAATTAAATCAAAACAAGTCAATAGACGTAGAGGATAGCACCACCTGGTGGTTGTTTAGGCAGCTTCTGGAGGAGATCCTTGAGGAGGAGTTTTGCTTCCTCACAGGAGCAGCCAGGGTCAGGACTTAAAAATCTTAGCAGGGAAAGCCAAAGGGCTTGAGGAGGAGGTCAGGGAGACCTAGTGTCTGTTTACTTCATCTCACACCCAGAGTGCAGCAGTTTGGCTGCTAGCTCAGGAGGGAGAGAGAAATCTAAGGAAGGCTGGAGAGAGAGGAGTGAGATCTGAGCACACAGAAAGGAGCAGAGAGTAAAAGGAAAATAAACTCCTCACCTGGGTGATGTGGTCCCAGAAGAGCCCTCAAACAACACTTACCAAAAGGGTAATGCTCTGAGGAGGAGGTCTCCAAAAGGGAGGAAGCCTCCATCTGGCCTTGGATACCGAGTTTGTGATGTTGTCAGATTTGTGGTGGAAAAGTGGGATGGGGGATGGACTCTCACTTGCCCTAGGATAAGTGTTCCCCTTTGTTTTGGACACCTGGTATATTTCATCATTCTTGCTGTCACACTGTCTTATCCGTTAGGCCTAGAGATTTTCAAGGTTGTCCTGTTTATTAAATTTTGGGACAAAATGACATTGGTGCCCAAGTGTCCCTCTAAACAAAGGATGGGTGTTATCAGATGCTTCTTCTAGGACAGGTGTCCATCTTCAGATTTTCTTTACAAACACTTTTGTGATCAAATGAGTCATCCGCCCAAGTGCTGCTTTACATTATAATCTTTCTATTTCTTTTTCCATGCTAAGTGTCATTCTTTAAGATACCCTTGTTCAGTTCCAGAGCTAATCATTTGGGCAAGTGGACAAGGTCAGAGTGAGAGATCTGCTCTCTCTTTCTCTTCTTTCTTTCTTTCCTTGTTTCTCTCTCTCTCTTTTTCCTAAAATTTTCAGCTTATTAAGGGGTGTAAGGCTTAAAACAACAACAAAAATGCCTCTTTTAAGCAACTGTTCATTAATGCAGTGTTTATCTCAACATTCCTGCCTGCCATTTCTCATGCCTTGTTTTCCCTGATCTGTTGTGCCTCAGCATCATGTAGTTGCACTTTCTGATAGACCTACTTTCAGACTCTTTTTGGCTGTGCCTTTCCTCCCTGAAGCTGGGGGTCCCTCTGTGCCCTGCAGAAGAGCACCACTGAAACTCACAGCAAGCTGGTGAACTCTCCACAGGGTCCTGAGTGTGCAGCTAGGAGCAGCCTGACCATCCTCAGTCCAACTGTACATTGCCTTGCCCTTTCTGCCCTCTTGAAAGTGGCCCACTCCAAGTCCAGGTTGTGCAATCTTCAGGCGTCCTGTCCCTGCCTCTTCCTCCTGGGATTGGTCCCTGGGCAGTAGGAAGGCAGTACTCTCTCCTGAGTGCTCTTTGGAAAAGACAGGGTACAGGATCTCTGTTGTGCCTGTCCTGCCCACATGCCCCATCCTGCCCACTGTCCTAGCAGTGCCCACCCAGTGGCCTCAGGGGGCGTTGACCATGTGCCACACCACACAGGTCCTGTGGTACAGCTTTAAAACTGATAGATGCTCTTGTGCTGGATCCCCAGAGCCCAGAGGTCAACACCCAGGACCTCACACTGTCCAGCATCTTCGCCTTCATGGTGCCTCAGAACTCACTGGAACATTTCATTCGTGTGAGATCATGGGTTTTTGCCTGATGTATGACAGGGTCTTCTCACCTGGCAGGACCCTCTTACCAAGTCACTGTAGCTCAAGTAGGGCTTTTGGGGTAAGTGACCATCCAGGTCCTTTCTGTGTGTGGCTGCCAGTGGTATGCCCTGGATGCCTCCCCAACCAGGTACTGCTCCTCAGCCAGCAGGAGACAACACTGGGCTCCTGCTTATAGCTGAGTCCTGCTTCAGATGGGGCCATGGCCCACAGGACCCACCCCATAGGCTTATCGGACCTGGCATCTCTCCTTCATATTCAAACACTTGGCATCTCAGAATGGTGTCCTCCTCAGTGTCCATGGCCATGCAAGGAATGCCAAGCTAACTGCACAGCCCAGGGTTAGGACCCTGAAGACTGTGAGGCCATAAAGGGCCAGGGGGCTTGGGGGAGGTCAGCACAGAGCAGCACAGGACAGAGCTGTGAACTCCAGGCTGGGGCCACTTTCCTCAAGTGTGACTCAGCTGGAAACTGACCTCAGGAGCCTCCTGGAACCCTGGCAAGCCACATGGGAGGAGGGCAACCCCACACAGTACACAGTCCAGCCTGGGGAAACAGCTCACACCCAATACCCAGAGTCTCAAAAACCAGGTCACAGTTCTTGGCCCAGCAGAGCTCCTCTGCCCAGGAGGGCCACCAAATTTAGGTTCAGGGAATTAGTCCTTAGTCCTCATGGTCAATGTCACCAGATCTGACATTTGGCTTCTGCTATGGACACACAGATGAAGACTATGATCCTCCAATAGCCAAAGGACTCCCCCAACCACCAGCACCATAGGAGGGTGGAAATGTCTGGTGGGCGAGAACAGGCAGCAGATAAGAGGTCCCCAGAGTTGGATGGGCCAGGAGGACCTGTAAGGGGCAGAGCTCCATCAGCTACCGTGGGAAACAGAGCCCTCATCCCACATGGACAAAGCAGTACCCACTCACCTGATAGGCAGGCAGGCCTCTCCTGAGGCTAAGGGATTTTTGACACAGTGTGCCCTAGTCTCAGGCTTCAGTCCTCCAAGATGGTGGAACTCCACAGCCTGAGGCCAGAAACCTGCCAGCCAGCCTGAGCCCATCCCTGTTCCTTTAGATAGGAAGGGAGGTAGGGTGGACTCAGTCTCAGGACCAAGTTGGGGATGGTCAGTTGTGCCCCTCCCCAGGGATGTCACAGCACAGTCACAAGCACATGCGTTTTATTGATTTCCACTGTGTACAGATGTGTGAGTGTGAACGGCTGCATAAAGCCTGGGGTGGTGGGTCAGGGCCTCAGCCCAGGGTGAGGGGTCAGCAGTGGAGGGCGTGCAGTCCTCAGAATCCTTTATCTTATGAAAAGGTTTAGAGGGTCACCGTGCTGCGGTGCTCAAAACAACGACTAGGATGATGGTCAGGAGAACAGTGAGGATGCTGAAGACCAGGGCGCAGATGTTCAGGCACTTGGCAGTGGAGGCATAGGCCTGGGCTCCAGTCACATCGCCCACCATCTTCCTGTCCCTGGACTGGAGGAGACCAGATGGTGAGGAGCCCTGGTGTGGGTCAGGGGAGAGCCAGGTACTCTGATCTGGGCCCCCAGACCTCCTTGTCCACTGCAGCCTCCACCTGTCCTCACTCAGCCTGGGACCACCCCTCCCCTTCCACACATTCAGCCTTTCCAAGAAGCCCAGCACTGGCTGCTCACCCAAACTGGGGGCAAAGTCTCCCATGAGTCCCCTCTGCACTTTCCACACAACCTGGGTTTCACTGTCTATAAGAAGGACATCATAGGAACAGGCAGCCTCACCTGTGCCACCCTTGGGATATTCCCCAAGTGCTCTCCACCCCCCCATACACACACACACACACACACACACACACACACACACACACTCTCTTTCCAGGGCCCACACTGAAGGAGAGGAGCACAAACTCACACCCACAAACACAGGCCCACACACTGCAGTTGCCCACTGGGCTGGTGAAGCCTCGGGCTCACACACCTTCCCTGAGCTCTCCCCCTACCCTATACCCTATACCCTGCACCATACGCACCTTCACAGAGTAGGCATAGGCAATGAAGCCCAGGCAGCAGAAGTTCATGAAGAGCGTGTTGAACAGGGACCAGACCACATGGTCAGGCAGGGAGATGTCCCTGGGCATGTTGATCACGGTGGTCGTCATGGAAGCCGAGCCGTGGGGTCCCCCCAGCACGGCCACCTCATGTTCCTCTTTGAGTCTCTCATAGTCTGGGGGGAGGCCAGCGTTGGCAGAGGTGAAGAAAGTTTGGGGAGGATGGTTCATGGTGGCTGCTCTCGACCAGCTGTGGGCTGTGAAGGATGAGCGAGGCTCAGTGGCCCCACCCTCTCCCAAACAGTTTCGATTTCTCAGAAGTTTCCTTTTCCTGAGTTTGGATGTTTTTTGGAATTGGCTGGGTACTGAAGGGGGTTGAACTAAATCATGAGGATCAAATTACTCCAGTGCAGGATATGAAGGAGGGAGGTGAGGAGTTCCGTTTGGGAACCCAGCCAAGTTTTGTCTCCTCACCTCAGTGCTCAGGACCAGCAGAGTTTCCATGCCACTTGAGAAACTCACCATTGTTGAAGTCACGTAAGAGAATGACAAGGGAACTCTAAAAATCTGTCCTCCGTGAAAGCCATGAAGGACCTCACATAACTGTCAGAAAAATCACAAGTTCTTGTGTGGTAAAGAACACACAACAAAGCACTTGCCAGCTTAGCCATATTTTAATTGCCCAACTAGGGGCCTCACATAGCTGTTGATTCCCCACATTTCAGTGTGTGGGCGGATGGATCAAAGAAAGGGCTGACAGAGCCTAACTCCAGAGATTCACATCCCTCTCTCGTGAGATCAGGTTCAAAGGCAGGGCCCTGGAAACCTGGAGCCTCTGGGGTCCACTCTGCTCCTGCGCATCTCATTATTCTGGTAAGACTGTGCAGCCAGAAGTGCCTCTCTGGAAAAAGCTAAGGTTCAGGGCTCACCCTATGAGGTGACCATCATTCAGTCAGGCACAAGATATGATAGGCAAGTGACAAAAACAAGTAGAAAACCAGTGACCAGATACAGAGTGGCCAGGTGACAACAGGCAGTACTGGCAAGGGAGGCTGCCGCCATGCCTGTGGCTTCTGGCTACAGGACACTCTGTGCAAGAGAACTATCAAAAACGTGAAGGAAGCCGAGGCTGAAATGCGTTTCTGGGTGGAGCTCATCCTGCTTCAGCCAAGAGCGTGAGTAGGAGGAAGCTGGTCCCATCCAGCCCAGCCCTGAGGCAGACCTGGCCACCTGCCACACACTTCAAGTTTCCCTTTTGCTGAAGCGTTGGCTAAGCAGAATGATTGTGCCACAGCTGTCTAGAACATGTTTAAGAAATACAGGATGGAGTCACATAGGAAGGAAACCAAGAAGATAGAACAAGATCCCAAAATACCTGTAATTCTATGAACTGCATTGCTGGAGCACCTCACTTTCAGTGCACATACAGTGATGAGGAATGGAAACAGCCTAAACTAGTCATAGTGAAATCGGGAACCAGCAACAGGGCTGTTCCAGGGACCTGCAAAACAGGCAAGCAAAAAAATAGGAAGATGTGAGCTGGCTGGTTAAGACCCACAACCACAAAGATTGTGAGAAATCTGGCCTGGAACTGAAGCTGAGCCTCATTATATCTCGTTATGAAGTGCAGTTGTAGGTCCCAGTCCCAAACACCAGAAGCTCCATATACCATGGCCTGCTCACTCCCCACTTTACGCCAATAAAACAGACACAGTGAAGGGCAGAGAAAGGTTTATCACATGGCCTGGGCAGACTGCACTTCAGTCATCTTCAGGTACCGACATGAATTTCAGCTTTGAATAGACTCAGAATTAGTCAGGGAGCAAAAGTTACGCATATTGTTAAACAGTTCCCGTCACAGGTATGGCCTGGTTGACCATTATCTCAATCCTTGTTCTTCAAGGGTCCCAAAGGAGTTGTCACCGCTGTCATCACATAAGGGTAGCAATCTGTTTTCCAAGATGATTATTCCTGTTCTAGAGTGCAGCCTCATCATTATAGGTAACCATCTTCATTGGGGGAGGAGGTTTCTGCCCTGCAAAGCTCCACTGTTCCTTAGTAGTTTTGGTCCCTTGTCATAAAGATGTTATTGATCAGTCTTGTCATTCCTGGAACCCAAGGTGATTGTAAAGTGTAGAGCAAAGATAGATACAAAATGGAGGCAGAGGTGCCAAGGTTTTCACCTGCTTTTAGGTGATTCATGGGTCCAAGTAAGGAACCAGTGCTTTTCAGCAAAAGTAGTAAGAACCTCCTACTGTTTTAATCATTAGCATAGTAAAATCTCTGCCCTGGGGAGCTGTAACACGAGGAAAGCCATATTTTGAGCCTGTGCCAAGTGGTAAGAGCGCACTTAGGTCTTCTCCCTTCCCTTGAAAAGGCTTGAATATTCATACCATCCCCATAAAATGATTGTGTGAGCCCCACATCGGGGCTGCTCTACGTCTTTCCTATAATAAACTTCCACTTTACTTTTGCTTCAGAACTAGTCCCTGATTTCTACCCCAGGCAAGGACTTACCCAGCTGGTGACAATAATGGAAGTATTCCTTTAGGACTCCTGCCTGAGAAACGGAGGTTCTCACCGGGCCTGGAAGTTTAACCTGGGAGGTGAAGGCATGGTTTGCACGTGGAACATCCAGGTAGAAAACAGGGAGAGCCGCGGCCAGCCTACACCTCAAAGGTACTCTTCGGGCATGGGCTTCTTGTTTGTCTGGCCACTGGCCCTAGGGTCAAGTCAATTAATTTGAGGAACTATTGGAAAAGTCAGTTTAACAAGGAGACGAAAGGACTCTTGTCACAAAGCTTCCCTGGGTGGCTGGCTTTGACTGGGAGGGAAAAGAGGAGCAGGGAGACAATGGGCAGGAAGGCTGCATGCTGAGTGGAGGCTGTCCTCCAGGGGAGTGTATGTGTGTGCGCGTGCATGTATGTGTGTGTGTGGTTGTGTATGCCATGTGTATGTGGGTGGTGTGTGTGTGTGTGCATAGTATGTGTGTGTGTTGTGTAATGTGTGTTTGTGTCTCCAATAGGGTCTTCATCATCCCATCAGGTCTCCTTAGAGAAGTCTTTGTCACCTGGTGGGAGGTCTTCTTTTTTCTTCAACAGAAATAGACCTCAGGCTCCTGGAGACAGCTCCTGAATTTTCCTTTCAGACAGATACATTACTTTTCTCTAAGTTAACTCATGTGCTTTGTATTCGTTGGTGACAGAATACATGCTATTTTCCATAGAACTAAACACTAGGGAGAACTTTACAAATGTCATTAGATGTTCTGGGCTCTGTAAATCTCAAGGGCATTTCACAGTTAACATCTTAGCCAAAGGATTAGGGAGCAAGCAGAAAGGAAAAATAGGGGGAACAATAGACAAGTATAAAAGAGCAGACCTCGCTTCCATGAAGCACAGAGCCTGGAGATCCAGGTCTACACTCTCCAGCCCCAGAGACCCTTGGTGGTGAAAGAAAATTTGGGAAAAACTGAGGCACTCAGGAAAGGAAAGGAGAGACACTCTGGGAAAGAATCTGCGACCTTCACAGGTAGCAGGCCTTTATTTGGGAAAAAAGACCTGAGCGGGGTCCTCGCCATCAGAGTAGCCCTCTGAGAGGGGCAAGAGCATGTTTTTCTTACAGGCTGGGGTTTTTAAGCATCGTGTGGTGGGAAAGGAGGAGGTTGGGAAGGGTGGGCATCAGGTAGCGTGGCTAGAAGGGAGGGTGGGGGAGGTGACGGACATTGTCTGGGAAAGCCATCGGGGCTGGGCAGTTTTACGTGTTGTTTTCTCTCACTCTTTTCTCTAGGGTAGCAATATTGACATTGTTTCAGTGCTCCTTGGCCTTCCAAGAGACTCTCTGTCCCTGGGACTCTCTGTCCCTGGGAGTGTGACTCCTGGCCAGGCAGCATGAGGAACTGTGTCACCTATTTCTGAGACACTGGTGGAAGTGATTGAAGAAAGCCTTCTGAAGCTCTAGACTCTGTCCTGAGGACAGGGAACTGTTGGAGACCAGGCATGAACCCTGGACTGGGATATGATGGAGTTTTCACAGCCTCTCCATGTAGAAGTTTGCACAGCCTCTTCTACCATAGTTTCCCCAGTACCTGGTGTCTTTTTTTTTTTTTTTTTTTTTTTTGTCTTTTTCTTTTTTGGTGCTGGGATCGAACCCAGGGCCTCAGGCATGCTAGGCAAGCGCTGTACCACCGAGCTACATCCCAGCCCAGTACCTGGTGTCTTGACCTTTCTTCTCACATCTCCTTGAAGAATACAACCTGCTGTGTATTCTAGTTTTGCCCCCTGATGCAAAACTAGATAAAGTGCCAGAACTGTTAGGAGACTCCCTGATGCCACATTAATCAATACCTTAGACAAGGTGTCCTGCATGCCTTGATGATTCCTGAACTGATGTGCTATAATTAAGCTTCTATAGCCTTAGGAAAATTAGCCCACCAAACCTCATTCCTTTCACCTTGCATCAAGAATTGTTAAAGCTTGATTTTTACCTGAGTCTTTTCCTTGTACTGACCTATAAAATAAACCCTCTGGCTCAGGTAGGCGCTCAGTTTCCCACCAAGAACATGCAGCCCTCCCGACACCAGCTTTTCATTTTATGTCTGTATGTCTGTGTGTGTCTTATTTCTCATTCCCCCACCGCTCTTATACAGGTTCACACAGAGTACCCACGCAGTTTGTGGGCAGAGAACAAGCATCATTCAGAACACCTATGGAAATTTGAGGACAAAGTATAATAAGGCCTTAGAGACTGCTTTTGCTAAGAGCACTGACCCTTTGCTTGGGCCTGCATATGCCCAGTGGGTAACTAGAAGTAGGGTGAAAGCCTGGCATCTCTACCTCCATTTTGCATCAGTCCCATTGCTATGAGTCATTCTTTCCTCAGTCACCTTGGATTTCAGAAACTACAGTCTGTGATAAGACTTGAGACAGTTTTCAAGACCACCTCTCAGACAGCAATGTCTTTCCTGCTGCAACAACACCCCCATAACCAATCCTGACATAATGATCAATTGAACTCCATTTTGACCAAGGTTGCTCCCTGCTTTTGTCCCTTCCCTATAGAATCTGGGAGTGCATATCAGCACCCCTGAAGGTAGGGCTGAGGATTTGGTCCCTTGTCATCTTGGCATAACATACTGATTAAAGCTCCTTTCCAGTTTTTCACCAATTCTTTTTTCATTTGGTTTCTGGGGTGAGCACCCAGACCTGACATATTAGACCCCCAGAGTCGGGCCTCTAGCCTAGGGC